GACCCTGTTATTTTGTCTCATAAAGGTAATATCTTATCTTCATAATAATGGGCACAATAATCTAATTCCACAAATGTAAAGGGTTTTCTGACCAGCCTCTTTGTTTCTAAGGGAATGCTGGTCAGAGCTCGCAGTCTGCAGCACTATGTGCTACCTGGAGGCACCATAAGGTGACACCCAGTCTGCAGGACTGTGGAGGCAAGGACCCTCCACTGTCTGTGGTCATGCTGCATGCTTGAGCCCCTAAAAATGGGGCTTCTTGTAAAATGGGAGGCATGGACGAGTGAGCAGGTGACAGCAAATGCCACAAGTCTTGAGTGTAAACAAATACCATTAGATTTTAGGTAGACGGAGAGAGGGATGGGGGTGGTGGCATCATGCTTCTTAAAGGAAAGTAAAGATCTATGCCATTAAACCGCACTGGGAAGAGGATGACAATCATCGACAACCAGGGAACACTGCTTTTCTTGGGATCCCGAAATCAGTACTCCTAGATAGGGGATCCAGAAACAGGACCGTGAAAAGATTCTTTACGACTGTACAGATGGTCTCCTGTAAGAACTTTGTGTGTCTAATGGTCAGTTTTAACTGTTAACTTGACACAACCTAGAAGCACCTGGGGAAAAGTCTCCATGAGGAATTGTCCAGATCAGGTTGTCTGTGGGCATGTCTCTGTGGCAGACTATCTTTTAACATCTTAACTGATGTGGGAAGAACCAGCCTGAGTGGTTTGGGGCCCTGGTCTGTATAACAGAGAAAGCCAGCTGAGCACCAAGCTCACCCGCCTTCATTTTCTCTCTCTCTTACCATGAATGTGACTAGCTGCTTCAAGCTCATGCCCTGACTTCTTCCCCACAATGCTGGACTGTAGTCTGCAGCTGTAAACCAAATAAACCTTTCTCCTTTAAGTATTTGGGGGGTGGGGTCTGGATATTTTCAAATCTTTCCTTTCTAGTGGAAAATTAGGAGCCTGACCTTTTAACATTTTCCAGTTTGGGTCATCCACTGTAAATGACTTTTTCTTTGTGTGGCCAAACACTTTGAGTAGTTTATCATGGAGCAATTTTGGTGATTTGGCCATACATACTGGTCCTGAGTGACCAGCCTCCTTCGCTCCAGAGGACATAGAAGAGAAAACAAACTATGAGGGCCTGGGG